GGCTGGGTCAAAAGCCGAAGCTCGGATCAAGGTCCAACTTGAGGCCCAAGAAAAAGGACAGCTTAGACAGTTCCAACTCGAAGTGAAATGGTTGGAAATTGAAGCTGAAACTGCTGTGAGGCTACATCAGCTGGAGCTTCAGACTCAGGCTGGAGTTCTGCTGTTCATGTGAACTCCACTGATGGTTCTGTTGGTTTCTCCTCAGGTGCTGAACAAGACAGGTATGCTGCTTTGGTGCCTGAATTTAGAGAAACAGAGGTAGATTGCTACTTTTTGGCTTTTGAACGAATAGCACAAGCTTTGCAGTGGCCATCTGAAGTCTGGACAATCTTGTTACAATGTAAGATAAAAGGTAAAGCTCAAGAGGTTGTTTCAGCACTTCCTCTTGTTGACACCTTTAGATTATGAAAAAGTTAAAGCTGCCATTTTGAAAGCTGTGGGAGAACCTTTTGAACGCATCATCATAGATTCTGTGGGACCTTTACCTTGCACAAGATCTGGTAATCAGTTTTTACTTACCATGATGTGTGCTTCAACTCGTTACCCTGAGGCCATCCCACTGAGAAAAATCACTTCCAGCTCAGTTGTCAAACCAATGACCAAATATTTTTTTCTACATTTGGTTTCCCTAAGCTCATACAAACTGATCAAGGTACAAACTTTCAATCTAAACTTTTCAATCAAGTCCTAAAAGATCTAAATGTGCATCATTTTGTTTCCAGTGCTTATAATCCTGAGTGTCAAGGTGCTTCAGAATGCTGGCATCAGACACTAAAATCTACTGTATATGCTGCGGAAGTAATGTTGTGAGACAGAGGAAATTTAGGATTAGGGCAGAGAGTACTCAGGAAACTTTAGGATTCAGTCCAGCTGAGTTAGTGTTCGGACATACACTTAGGAGTCCACTTCAAGTTCTGAAAGAYAAACTTTTGGACTCAAAAACACCCCCTAGCGTCATAACAACCCTTCATCTTCTGGTATCCAAGGGCGTCTCTCTTTTTCAACCTCCACCACCAGTTTTGGGCCCAGGGGAAGAAAACTCCTACCCCTTAACTTAAACAACTCAAATGAGATTACAGCATCACTCAGCACTCTTGTCCTCTGCCGGGGTCCGAGCGCCAAGCTCTGATGTCATTCATGTCAATAACCATGTCAGTCCAGTCATGTCAATAAACCTCCTAATTTCAGTTTGTTGAGTCTTTCCAGGTTGAATTGGTGATTTTTTTTTATATACAAACAATAAATTGACATGTTCACNCTGTGCCATCTGCTGGTCCTTCTGAAGGTGGCAGAAAAGCTGTGGGAAAAACTCAAGCAGTCTCACACTTGCCTGAAGTCACTAAGGTTAGTGAAGGGATTGAGACTCCTTACACTCTTCCTCGGGTTGACTTATCTGTTGGCAATAGTTCGGCTGGGTCAAAAGCCGCTACTCGGCTCAAGGTCCGACTTGCCAGACTGCAACTTGAGGCCCAAGAAAAGGCACAGCATAGACAGTTCCAACTAGACATGAAACGGTTGGAAATTGAAGCTGACACTACTGTGAGGCTACGCCAATTAGAGCTTCAGACTCAGGCTGCAGCTCATGTTTCTGCTGTTCCTGTTAACTCCACTAATGGTTCTGTTTTCTCCTCAGATGCTGCACAAAACAGACCCTTTGATGTTGCAAGGTATGTTGCTTTGGTGCCTGAATTTAGAGAAGCCGAGGTAGATTGCTACTTTTCAGCTTTTGAACGAATAGCACAAGCTTTGCAGTGGCCATCTGTTACAATGTAAGATAAAAGGTAAAGCTCAAGAGGTTGTTGCATCACTCCCTCTTGTTGACACCTTAGATTATGAAAAAGTCAAAGCTGCCATTTTGAAAGCTTATGAGCTTGTTCCAGAGGCTTACAGGCAAAGATTTAGAGCTTTTAAGAAAAGCCCCAGTCAGACCTATGTTGAGTTCACCAGAGAAAAAGGGAATCTCTTTGATAAGTGGTGCTGTTCATGTAAAGTCACTGATTTTAATGCCTTAAAAGAGTTGATGTTGTTGGAAGAGTTTAAAAACTGTTTACCTGATCGTATTGTGATGCACTTAAATGAACAAAAGGTAGACTCGCTGTCTGCTGCTGCAGTTCTAGCTGATGAATATGTGCTTACACATAAAACTGTTTTTCAGTCTGTTCCAACTAGAAACTCCTCTGTTAAGTTTACTGAAAAATCCAAGATTGTGCAACAAAATGATAAGGAGTGTTTCTATTGTCATAAAACGGGTCATGTTATTGCA